CCCCGGGCACCCCCGCCACGCGTGCTCCGTCACCACGGGGCCCACGGCCTGGGCATCCTGGCCGGGCTGAGTAAAATCCGCCTCCTCCAGGAGGTGCCGGGGCCCCCACGGAGCTGCCGAGATGCAACTTTCTGCTGCATCGAAGCCTCTGCCTTCATTATGTAACGGCGCTGCTGCCTGGCACGGTGCTCGCCTCCACGTCCTGCACAACTTCAGTGCAACCAGGGATTGATTTCCACTCCCCTGGACTGGCTCTGCTGTTTATGATGAGCTGATGAGCCTTTCCTTGGATCTCGGGCCTGGGCTGCTCTCTGTGACCCCCCCCATCTCAGCGCAGGGCCGGGTGGAAGGGTGACAGCACCCACTGGCCTGGCAGCAGGTCTCGGCCATGCAGCATCCTCCAGGAGCAGTGCTGGTGTTTGGGGTCCTGCTCTGCCACCAGCACAATCCCTGAGGAAGGTGGGTTTGGGCAGGTTTGCATCGGGGCTGCCTGTGCTGGATCCCTGCCTGAGGTTCTGCCTGACCCGTCCCTGCACAGCCCAGGGCTCTGAGGCCAGCCAGGCTGCACATGGCCACAGGGGCTTCCAGCTCTGATACTTCCCCTGATTTTCCCCCTTTGAGATGTTGACAGCAGCCCCGGAGCAGCAGTGGGGCTGTTTGTGCTGTCCCACCCTTGCAGGAGTGTGAGCAACTCCAGCTCAGGGACCCTGAGGCTGTTGGACCCCCTGGTCCTGCTCCCCCCATGCACAGGCTCAGTCAGGCAGCTTCTGAAGGAGCCTGACAGGGGAGAGCCACCCTGAATACAGATGATGCCCGGGCTCTGCCTGCCTTCCCGGGCATGTTCTGGCACTGTGGAGGAGCAGGGGGGATTGTGCCAGCCTCGGGAAACACCCCTGGGACCTGTTCCATGACTGTGTCCTGGGAGCTGAGGCTGGAGGATTTGGTGTGAGCTGCCTCCCTAACACCTCTGGGTTTCTTTCCCCAGAGCCTTCCTCCAGCACAGCCCTTCAGGATGATTGGCCCAGGACCACCAGCGGGGACCTTCTGGGCACATTGCAGCTGACCCACAGTGCTGGGACCCCCAGGGCAGCCTGGCTGCCCACCCCCCTGGGA